TTCCATTGTGTGTGTGTGTGTATATGTGTGTGTGTGTATATATATATATATATATAAATACCAAATATTTTTCATCCATTCTTCTGTCAGTGGACATTTAGGTTACTTCCATGTCTTGGCAATTGCAAATGGTGCTGCAATGAACATCAGGGTGCACATATCTGAATGAATTGTGGTTTTCTCCAGATATATGCCCAGGAATGAGATTGCTGGGTCATATGGTAACTCTATTTTTAATTTTTGAAGGAACCTCCATATCATTCTCCATAGTGGCTGCAGCAATTACATTCCCAACAATAGCATAGGAGGGTTCATTTTCTCCACATCCTCTCTGGTACTTATTATTTGTAGACTTTTTATTAATGGCCATTCATTCTGACTGCTGTGAGGTGATACCTCACTGTAGTTTTGATTTACATTTCTCTAATAATTAGCAATATTGATCATCTTTTCAGGTGCTTATCATCCATCTGTATGTCTTCTTTGGAGAACAGTATATTTAGGTCTTCTGCCCATTTTTTGATTTTTTTTTTTTTTTACATATAATGAGCTGTATGAGCTGTTTCCTTATTTTAGAAATTAACCCCTTATTTGTCACATCATTTGCAAATATCTTCTCCCATTCTGAATCCTTCGGAGTGTCTTTTTATTTATGATTTCCTTTGCTATGTAAAAGCTTTTAAGTTTAATTAGCTCCCATTTGTTTTATTTTTGTTTTTATTTCCATTACTACAGGAGACACAGCCAAAAAATATTTCTGCACTTGATGTCAAAGAGTGTTTTGCTTATATTTTCTTCTAAGAGTTTTATACTGTCTGGTCTCAAATTTATGTCTTTAATCCACTTGAGCTTATTATTTGTATACAGTGTTAAAGAATGTTCTAACTTCATTATTTTACATGTGACTTCCCATTTTCCCTGCATCATTTGTTGAAGAGGCTATCTTTTCTTCATCATAGATTCTTGCTTCCTCTGTCATAGATTAATTGACTGTAAGTGCATAGGCTTATTTTGGGGCCTTCTATCCTGTTCCATTGATCTAGATTTCTGTTTTGGGGCCAGTACTATAGTGCTTTGATTATTGTAGTTTTGTAGTATAGTCTGAAGTCAGAAAGCACAAGTCCTCCAGCCTCATTCTTCTTTCTCAAGATTGTTTTGGTTGTTTGGGGTCTTAGTATTTTCATACAAATTTTAAAAACTTTTCTAGTTCTACTTCTGTGAAAAATGCACTGTAATTTTATAGAGATTGCATTGAATCTATGGATGGCTTTGGGTAGTATAGTCATTTTAATAATAGTAATGCTTCTGATACAAAAACACGGTGTATCTTTCCATCTGTTTGTGCTGTCTTTCATCAGTGTCTTATAGGTTTTTCGGTACAAGTCTTTTGCCTCCTTATGTAAGTTTATTCTTAGATATTTCAATTTTTACATGTGATGATAAATGAGATTGTTTCCTTAATTTCTCTTGATGATGTTTCATTGTTAGCATAGAGAAATACAACAGATTTCTGTATATTAATTTTGTGTCCAGCAACTTTACTGAGTTTATTGATGAACTCTAGCAGTTTTCTGGTAGTGTCTTTAGAATTTCCTATGTATAACATCATGTCATCTGCAAACAGTTTTACTTCTTTCTGAATTTAGATTCCTTTTATTTATTTTTCTTCTCTGATTGATATGGCTAGAGCATTCAAAACTATGTTAAGTAAAAGTGGTGAGAGTGGATATCTTTGTCTTGTTCCTGATCAGAGGAAATTCTTTCAGTTTTTCACCATTGATTATGGTGTTAGCTGTGTTTGTCATTTATGGCCTTTATTATGTTGAAATATTTTCCCTCTATGCCCACATTCTAAAGAGTTTTTATCATGAATGAACGCTGAATTTTAACTTTTTTTTCCTGTATTTATTGAGATGATCATGTGGTTTTTATTCTTCAATTTGTTAATGTTCTGTGTTGCAGATTGATTTGAAAATATTGAAAAATCTTTGCATCCATGGGGTAAAACCCACTTGATGATGGTGTACGAACCTTTTAACGTATTGTTGCATTTGATTTGTGAGTGTTTTATTGAGGATTTTTGCATCTGTATTCATCAGAGATATCGGCCTGTAAGTTTTTCTATTTGGGGTATGTTTGTCTAGTTTTGGTATCAGGCTGATGATGGCCTCACTGAATGAATTCAGAAGTGTTCATTCCTCTGCAGTTTTGGGGGATAGTTTCATAAGAACATGTCCTTATTATTAAGAATTCAAACATCACAGGTTAAACTAGAGTCTTCTTTGACCACCATCCTTACCCAGTCTTAATCCTTTCTCCAGAGGTAACCACTGTTATATTCTGTGTCCTTCAGCACATTACATGTACTTAGTTCTCATTTTCTTGTCTCCCCACACTTAGCATTACCAAGCTTTATACCAACCTGATATGTAAAAGTGTATTTCTCTTTTAATTTGAGTTTCTCTAGTTTCTTGTGAAATAAAGTCATTTTATTGATGCTATTTGCAGTCTGTTTTCTGAGAATTACTGCTTATCATGTTCATTATTTTTCTTATTGACTTGTAGGCATTGTTTATATGGTTTGAATATGAAAATGGTATGTATTTGGTAATATATTGTAGATTTTTTTATCATTATATATAATAGTTTATAGATTTTGCTCATTCCTTTTGCTGTAATTAATGAGACCAATCCTACCACAAGAACACAGACACATTCTCCTATATTTCTTCCAATAATATTATAAATTTTCTCGTTTTAAATCTTTAAGCTTCCAGGAATTTGTTTTACTGAGAGGTACAATTATGGACCTAATTTTTTTTTAAATTAGTTGGAGGCTAATTACTTTACAATATTGTAGTGGGTTTTGTCATACATTGACATGAATCAGCCATGGATTTTTTTAAAGATTTTTCAAACAGGTGAAAAATTGTCCTAAATCATTTATTGAATATTCTTTTCTCACAGAAATTAAACTATAGTATTTTAATCCAATTTAAAATTTTCACACATATATGCCTGATACCAGACTTTTTTTTTTTGTTACTTTTGTTCTGTTACTTCACCAATACCAGACTTTATATATTTTGATAGTTAAAGAGGCAGTTTCACTTTTTACTCTGATCTGTTAAACATTGCTTTACTCTTGAAAATTTTTTGGCTCTTCATCCAGTAAGATGTCCAGACCTATTAAGCATCTACAACATGCTGTGCATGAACGTTGGCTATGACTTGATCAATTCCCATGACAAATGTTGTTGGTTATCACCTCAATATTATATTTATGTATTTTTAAAAGTATACATTGTCTCACAAAGAGTAAAACTTAAGAGATAAAAATCACATGCCATAAAGATTCTTTTCCTAACTTATGGGCATGCCAAGTCGCTTCAGTCACATCAGACTCCACAACTTGTGGACTGTAGCCAGCCAGGTTTCTATGTCCATGGGATTCTCCCGGCAAGAATACTGGAGTGATTTGCTGTGCCTGCTTCCAGGGGATCTTCCCAACCCAGGGATTGAAACTGCATCTCTTATAGTCTCTTGCATTGGCAGGCAGGTTCTTTACCACTAGTGCCAACTGGGAAGCCCCTAACTTAGGTCTCAGCAATCTTATTCTTCTGATTCTTTCCTCTGAGGTAAGCAGCATTACTAGCTTCTTATGTTTAGCTCCAGAGATTTACACTAAGTTTATAGATATAAACACATACAGACACATATTCATTTCTTTTTTTATACATGTATCAGTAAAATGTAATTTCATTTCTTTTTTTATACACGTATCAGTAAAATGTAATATTATATTGTATTCCATGATGTATGCTGTATAATATAGAATATAAAATAATTATATGATTATAACAGATCAAGCATAATTTATATAGTATATATAACATATAATTATGGCATGTAATTATATAGTATGTAATATAGCTCACAAACTGCTCTTTCAGTGCCTTTTTCACAGAACAATATTATTTGGGGAGAATTCTATATAAACACATAAAAAACAAACTCACTTTGCTTCTTTTTTTACGGCTTATTATTCCATTGTTTATTCAATTTTTCCTCTATTGATAGATATTTAGATCTTTTGCGATCTTTTTACCACTATAAACAAATGTACACCAAATCCTGTTGTCAACGCAACATTTCATATATGTGCAAATGTTTTTGTAAGATGAATTCTTGTAAGTAGAACTGTGTAGTCTGAGGTGTATTTTAAAAGTTTTTTTTAAGGTTTCATCTTTTACATACTTTTTTTCTATAAATTCTTATTCATGTTTCAAGCTTACCTTCCTATATCTCATCTAATGTTGATTATACAAATTTTTAATCCCCACTCGCTCACTTTCCCCATTTCACAAATAGGGCAAATGATAATTTTTAGCAGTTATGAAGATTAGATATGATTACAGAGTGCTCATCATGGTGCTTGGCACATGAGAAATGATGAAATAATGTCAGCTATCAATATTTCTGCACTACAAGACACTGCTTATGTTGTCGTCTTCAACCTTTACTATCACTTCACAGTTGTTATCCCAATTTAAGATAAGAAAATTGAGATTCGTAAAGGTCATGACAGTGCTCAGTTCACACAGTTGTTAATGTCTTTGCTGTTTTAGGTCTTTTCTGGAGACAAAGAAATCCTTTAGTGAGGCTGGCCCAGAACTCTGTAGGAGAAGCATCTCTGTGGGTTGGAGTACAGACCAATCCTAGCAGAAGTAAAAGCACTGCTTACTTTAACAATAATGGGTCAAGACAGGCTTCTCAATTATGTGCAGAAAGATTTAAAAGTAAAAGCAACAGAAGTATCCTGCATTTTTGTTAGGATGTTTTTTCTTAAAGAAACCATACCTTTTATTCTAAATCAAATAACATGTAAAGAGGGCAACATATTGGGAAAATTTGCAATGATCTCAGTATTATGGCACTGAATACAAACCTCCTGCTTCCAGATCCCAGTCCTCTCTCTGGCACTTCCTTCTGAAGGAACAATGGCCTTGTTGGGAAACCAGACTCTCATCTCCCACTTCATCCTCCTGGGCCTCTTCACACACTCACCACTGCATCTCCTTCTCTTCTCTGTCATCATGGTCATGTTTCTGGTGGCCCTCTCTGGCAATGGGCTCATGATCCTCCTCATCAACACTGACTCCCGTCTACACAGCCCCATGTACTTCTTCCTCAGCTGGCTGTCACTCATGGACCTCATGCTCATCTCCACCATTGTACCACGGATGGCCATCGACTATCTCCTGGGCCATGGCTCCATCTCTTTCACAGGCTGTGGGCTCCAGATCCTCTTCTTCCTCACCCTCCTGGGGGATGAGTGCTTCCTGCTGGCTTTCATGGCCTATGATCGCTATGTGGCCATCAGCAACCCACTGAGGTACTCAGTGATCATGAGCCGCCGTGTCTGCTGGCTCATGGTGGCAGGATCTTGGCTCTTTGGCCTGGTGGATGGGCTGATCCAGGCTATCTTTACACTACGATTCCCTTACTGTGGCTCCCAAGAGATTGACCACTTCTTCTGTGAGGTCCCTGCAGTGCTCAAGCTGGCCTGTGCTGACACCTCCCTCTATGAGACTATGATCTATGTGTGCTGTGTCCTCATGCTGCTCCTGCCCTTCTCTGTCATCTCTGCCTCATATCTGAGGATCCTGATAACTGTGCTCCGCATGCATTCTGCTGAAGGTCGGCAGAAGGCCTTTGCTACCTGTTCCTCTCACATGGCAGTTGTGTCTCTCTTCTATGGGGCTGCCATGATCACCTACATGCGGCCTCAGGCCTACCATTCCTCCAAGCAGGACAAGGTGGTCTCTGCCTTCTATACCATGATTACCCCTATGCTCAACCCACTTATCTACAGCCTGAGGAACAAGGAAGTGGCTGGTGCTCTCAAGAAACTCCTGGGGAGGTGTTCTTGTGGTGTTGGGCAGAACTAGGTTGGTTTTGGCACCTGGAAATATGCTCTGGGGCCAGGAAACCTGGCCTAACCAACTGTAGTTTCATTGGAAGAGATATGAATGTGCCATACTGAAAATGAAAGTCATTCTCTGACTAAGGATAGTCAAATTAAGGTTAGTCAACTCAATCTATCATGTTCACGAAGATTGTGGCAATTTGGACAAAAAGTTGGGCTGACAGAGTTACAAGAATAGAAGACACACATCCTTCATTCCATGGATGTTGAAAGAGTTGACAGGTGGAAGCTTTCAGCTGTGTTCTTCTCAAGGAATTGCCCATAGCTGAGAAGAGAGACATCTTGCCCTAGGCCTTGCTTCTTCTTGGGATAGAGGAGGATGCCTGGAGAGGTCAATGGAGGATTACAAAGGCTTGGCTACCTTGCCTCAGTTTGACTCTGAGGGTCCATCCAGCTCCAGAGCTCCCCAGAGCTCCCCAATTCCAGAGCACTACACATAGGCATCATGGACCACTTCTCTCTGTATCCAGTTTTGCTTCCTTAGCTAACTTCCTATTTTATAGGTCTTCATACCTAGAAAAGACTCTCCAATAAACTTTCTGCATTCAAAGTCTATCTCACTTTGCTTCTGGGAAACTTGATTTGTGACACATTTAAACTCAGCAATGACAGTAACTTAGAGTTTGCTAAATAGGTCACTTGCTTCTTGGAAGAAAAGCTATGACAAACTTAGACAGTATGTTAAAAATCAGAGACATCAGTTTGCTGACAAAGGTCCATATATTCAAAGCTATGGTTTTTCCAGTAATCATGTACAAGTGAGAAAGTAGGACCATAAAGAAGGATGAAAGCCGAAGAATTGGTGCTTTCTAACTGTGATGCTAGGGAAGACTCTTGAGTGTCACTTGGACAATAAGGGTATCAAACCAGTCAGTCCTAAAGGAAATCAACCCTAATGTTCATTGGAAGGGCTGATGCTGAATCTGAAGCTCATATACTTTGGTCACCTGATGTGAAGAGCTGACTCATTGGAAAAGACCCTAATGCTGGGAAAGATTGAGGGCAGGAGGAGAATGAGGTGACAGAGGATGAAATGGTTGGATGGCATCGCCAACTCAATGGACATGAGTTTGAGCAAACTCAGGGAGATAGTGACAGACAGGGAACGCTGGTGTGCTGCAGTTCTTGGGGTTGCAAAGAGTCGGGTACAACTTAGTACTGAACAACCACAACAATGCAAAAGTAACAACATACATAATCTTTCCAAATGCCCAGAGAACATTGCTTATGTTAGATCATATGTTAAGTCACAAGAAAATTCTTAAAGTTAAGAAGATAAAATCATATCAAGCACTTTTCCAACCACAATGATTTGAAACTAGAAATTGATTACAAGAAGAAAACTGAAAAAAAAAAAAGCCTCACAGATTTGTGGTCTTGAACAACATGCTACTGAACAACCTTGGATGAAAGAACAAATAAAAAGAAACACCAAAAAATACCTGAAAAATCAAAAGAAGTGTCAACAATACCACAAGACAAAATTAAAAAAAGACACAGTGACCAAAATTTATGGAATGCAACAAAAGGAATTCTAAGAGGAAAGTTCATAGCAATAAATGTCTACATTTAAAAGAAAACAAGAAAAATCACATATAAACAATCTCAATTTATAACTCAACTATGTAGAAAAAGAACAAATGAGCCAAAAATACAATAGACTGAAGAAAATATAATGAATAGAGCTGAAATAAATGATATAGAGTTAAAAAGACAATAGAAAAAAACAATTACACCAAGAACTAGTTCTATAAAAAGACAAACTAAATTGAAAAAACTTTACCTAGACCCACCAATATGAAAACAGAATGCTCAAATAAAGTCTGAAAGGAAATAAACACAATACAATGACACTACAGAAATATAGAGTATCATAAAAATGTGAACAATTATAAACAAATTAATTCGATAACCCAGAGAAAGTGAATAAATATCCAGAAACATAATCAAGGCTAAAACATGAAGAAAAGAAAATCTGAATAGACTCATTAGTAGTAAGGCGATTGAATCAATATAATATCAATATAATCAAAATCTCTGAGCAAAAGCAGTCTAGAACCAAACATTCAAAAAAGAATTAATACCAAACCTTCTCAAACTCTTCCAAAAAACAAAAGAGGAGGGGATACTTTCAATTTACTTATAAGATCAGTGTCACCCTGCTACCAAAATCAGGCAAAGATGCCATAAGAAAAGAAAATGGCATGCCAATACCCCTAATAAATAAATATAGATGAAAAAAATACTTAACAAAATATTTCAAACTGAATGGAACACTACATTTAAAAGATCATATGCAATGATCAATTGAGATTTATTCTAGGGTTGCACAGATTGCGTCACAACTACAAGTAGATCAAGGTAATATACCATCTTAATAAAATGAAGAATAAAATCAGTGATTATCTTAATAGATTCAGAAAATTGTTTAAAGATAATATTTTGAACCAAGAAAACAAAGATGTAAAATGTAGTCCCTTCAATAAACACTGCTGGGGGGACTTCCCTAGCAGTCCAGTGGTTAGTACTCTCCTATTCAAATGAAGGGAGTGCAGGTTCCATCCCTTGTTGGGGAACTGAGATCCCACATACCATGCGGCATGACCAAAAAGTAAAAAAAAATAAATGCTGTGGGAATGATTGGAAAACCACATGTAATAGTATGAACCTGAACCATTATCTTACAACATACACAAAAATTACCTCAAAGTAAATTAAAGAGTTAAATGGGAGATGTGAAAGCACAAGACTCCTAGAATAAAACATAGCGAAGCAGATCCTTGACATTAGTCTTGGAAATCATTTTTTGAATGTGACACTAAAAACAAGTAAAGAGAGTAAAGAGTAGCAAGAATAAATAAGTGGGACTCCATCAAGCTAAAAACATTTTGCACAGCAAGAAAAACTATGAACAAGTTGAAAAGACAGTCTAATGAATGGGAGGAATATCTTCAAATTACATATTGGATAGGGGATTAATACCCAAATTATATAAAGAATTCATATAACTCAATAGCAGTAAATTCCAAATAGACCATTTAAAATATGGGCAAAAGGATATAGAAGAGATATTTTTCCAGAGAAGACATAGAGATGGCAACCAGCAGATGAAAAGATTCTCAATATTTCTAATCACCAAATTAAATCACAATGCAAATTAAAACCACAATGAGCTATCACCTCACACCCATTGGAATGGTTGTTAAAAAAGAAGCAAGAAATACCAAGTGTTGGCAATGATGCGGAGAAAAAGGACCCCTCATGTACTGTTGGTGGAAATGTAGAGGATGCAGCTATTGTGAAAACAGTATGGAGTTCCTAAAAAAATTAAAAGTGGAATGACATTATGACCCACCAATTCAATTTCTGAGTATTTATCCAAGGAAAATGAAAACACTAACTCAAAAAGATATCTACACACCCTCTTCATTGCAACATTATTTATAGTGGCCAAGATGTGCAAACAGCCTGAGTTCACCAATGGATGATTGGTTGAAGAAAATATGGTATGCATATATACATATATATGTACACATGTGTGCATGTGTTATTTATATATATATATATGTTATAAAATTGGTATGAATGTCATTCCACATTAGTTGAATGTCATTACATATATATGTAAATAACATTCCATGTTATTTAAATATTTACACATATGTACATATAACAGAATGCTATATATATGTAAATAATACGGAATGTTATTCAGCCATAAAAAAGATGAAGATCTTGTTATTTGTGTCAACATGGATGAGCCTTGAGAGCATTATACTAAGTGAAATGAGTCAGACAAAGAATGACAAATACTTGATGATATCATTTATATGTGGAATCTAAAAAAAGAGAAAAAATAAAGTCATAGATAAAGTGTAGAGACTGGTTGTTGCCAGAGGTGATTTGGAAAGGTTGGCAAAATGTTTCAAGGGGGTCAAAAGGTACAACCTATAAAATAAATATATCTTGGGGATGTAATGTACAGCATGGTTAATAATGACTATAGTTAATATTTTATGGCATATTTGAAATTGCTAAGAGAGTAGATCTTTTTTTTTTTTTTTAACAGAGTTGGCCAGAAGGTTTAATCCAAAGATTGTCCTCAGTCAGGATACATCCTTGTAAAGACCAGACCTACTCCCATAATTTATGTTTTAAGATAACAGAATTAGCCAGAGGGTTTAATCCAAAGACTGTCCTCAGGCAGGATACCTTATTGTTATATAATCCTAAGGAATGTAGAGGAAAAAAAGTAAAAAAAGTTTGTCCTTTCTTCCTCCTTGAATATCCCAGACCTCTCTCTCCTTGAGGACCCCTAGACTTCTTATCAACCTGTCTAGGAAATGACTCTCATTCCCCCCTTTTCTTTTAGGAGAATTATGTTGCCTAGGGAAAAAGGGCGTCATTCTCATTCCATAACTGCTTCCGAGCTGACAAGGGGCGTTGTCCCTAAATTGGTGAGGCAACATATTCTCTTAATCCTCATAGTGAGGATGTCTGATCCAGGGGCCCCAAGTAATAGTTGGAGGAGGCTGTGGCGCTCATAGGAGCTCGGACAACTATGTAAATTAAAAGCTTTTAGACGGTTAGAAAACCCCATTATACAGTTATAGATGTAAGGCAAAATAGTCATTAAACCAAGTTAAAATCAAAAGTCACATTATGTCCATAGTTACATCAGTCTATCTTAAGGTTGTTAGATGTCATCAGTTTAAGAAGAGGCAGCACATGTGATTGTTGAAGGTATTTGCAGACTTGGAGAAAGTCCTTTCCTTGAAGTGGAGATGTCCACCATGGGACGCCTTTCACAGATGAAGAAGGGAGTGGTCC